GACACTCGAGTCAATAAAGCTGATAAAGGTTTTTAAGTGAGGGGTAAGGGAAGGAAAAGTTACCTATGGACGTTAGTCAGAGACTAAGACTACGATGAAGGTGTATGTTCATAGAGCAAGTACTTTAGGAGCAAGTATGTGGTATTGATGTTGAATAAATAATAAGAGGTGAGACCTCTGTTTATATAGTAGTCTTAGGATCTTTGTATCCTAGTAGGACTTTAGTCCATAGTGGTGGAGGTAATAGGAAAGACCTTGATTCACCTGCCTTTAGAGTAGCAAGAGTCCTAGTTTATATGAGATTTAGGATCTTAAGTGAATTATGATAAAGATAGAAATTGGAAGTAGACGTACTAGAATCTGAGTAAGACACTAGGCCCTTAGTAGTTAACATGGACCAATGGGCCTAGCGCTCGATGGGTTGACGATAAGGCCCAATCTGGACGGCCCAACTTAGCAGATATATTGGGCCTATAACATGGATCTCATGGTAGGCCCAACCGGAATTGTGCCATGTCCTTGGAATAGGTAATGGACGTATTGTATTTTGGGCCTGGCAAGGCCCAAGATAATAATTTGGCCGATATAGTTAGCCCCCCACTCTCTAAGTCAAGTAATTAACTTGGAGAGTAGTCTAGTCTGAGTCATACTAATTTGGACTGAATGGAAGCATCTTAGGTTGAGTGAGAATGTTCAAAGCAGGTGAAGGTGTCACCACTTGGTCAAGCAGACCGAATGAGAGGATGTGAGGCACATCCCGTGAATGTGTCCTCACTTGGTGCATTGAACCAAGTGATAGGATGTGAGACACATCCTATGAACGTGTCCTCACTCGGTACATCGAACCGAGTGAGAGGATGTGAGGCATATCCTACGAAGGTGTCCTCACTCGGTGCATCGAGCCAAGTGAGAGGATGTGAGACACATCTCATGAAGGTGTCCTTTCTCAATCCATCGAACCGAGTGAGAGAATGTGAGGCACATCCTATGAAGGTATCCTCACTCGGTATATCGAACCGAGTGAGAGGATGTGAGGCATATACTATGAAGGTGTCCTCACTCAGTGCATCGAGCCAAGTGAGAGGATGTGAGGCACATTCCATGAAGGTGTCCTCACTCAACGCATCGAACCAAGTGAGAGGATGTGAAGCACATCCTATGAAGGTGTCCACACTTGGTGCATCGAACCGATTGAGAGGATGTAAGGCACACCCTTTGCATTGTCCTCACTCAGTACATCAAACTGGGTAAAAGGATGAGGCGGACGTGTTGGCAGTGCTTTCATTCGCCTTGAACAAGTCGCAAGGGAGACTGAGGCAATTCTCTTGTATTGCTTGGAGATAATCTCACTCGGTCAGGTAATCCGAGTGATGGCACTCAGGGATGCGAGACACATGTAGAGCGTGATATCTTTGAACTTTGAGCAAGAAAAGAAAATCCATAGCCTTCATGAAGGACTTATTATGCAACATGTGTACGGCTGAGATTATATTTTTGCTTTGAGGCGGGACAGTGTAATGTTTCATCTTTCGAGGACCAATGATATGCGGCCAAGTGTAGAGTTTGACAGGCTGGGTGAGTAGAAAAAGTGAAGGAATTTTGGGCGACTGTTCATCTTCGTTTTCTCTTCACCCTTTTCTCCTTTTCTCTTGGAAGCTTTCTTTTGTTGTAGTGGTGCTATTTTGCCAATTTTCTCAATCAATCACAGTAGAATCTTCAATCTATCTCCAGTTGTTTTTTTTTTTTTTTTTTTTTCACATTTCTTTTGCATTTCTAGGTGATTTTGAGCAATTTAGGTCCATTTTGAGCAAAAATTTGTGTGGAGTTTTGGAGGGTTTTTTTTTTTTTAGGGGGGGTTGGTTTGTCGAAAAGATGAGGTTTGGTGTTTTCGATTTTGTAGCGTCTTTGTTGGAGAAACTAGGTCTTCAGGTTTTTTGTGGATTTCTAATGAAATTTTTGTCTGTTCTTTGGAGATTTTGGGTGACTTTGTTTTGATTTTGGGTTTTTTGTGTTTGTTGGAATAAAGAATATATGGTCAATTTATTTAGGGTTTCCATTTGGCTCACTTTAGTGTGCTTAACTGAGTTGAGTGAAGTCTTAGGTTTTGCAATTTCTTCAATGTCGCATAACGAGACGAGTGAGACGAGTCAGGCGACTATGGAGATAGGAGATGAGTATGAGAGTGCTCCCACTATGGTGGTGATGCCGAAAGGGGATAATGTACCAATGGGAGTACCCAAGGGGTTAAGTGTGGTTGTCCTCGAGCTGGGTTATGTTGATTCGAGCTATGATAGTTTTAAGAGGCAAGGGTCGAGTAGGGAAGAGTCGAATGATGAATCTAATAGTTTTGGGGAAGCGAGGCTTCGATGAGTAGGGGATTAGGAGATGAGCCGAGTCAATTGGGTAGTGGGATTTTGAGTGTCGACTATCCACCTCTTCTCAAGGAGCATGATGAGTGGAGGATTAGGACCTAGTATCATATTCCCGACTCTGTGGAGATCAGGACACCTAAGAGTTATGAAAGGGTCGATTGGGAGGCTAAATTAAGGATGGGCGAGTATTTATGAGGTATGGTTTCATGATGGGCTACGATTGCCCATACCTTGGCTTGCCTGGGAGGTGCTGAATCACTTCATTATTGCCCCGACGTAAATCATGCCAAAGGGGTGGAGACTATTGATTGCCTTGGAGTTGATGTGCATTCAGAATCGTGTGAAGTTTGGTCTACATGAGTTGTTGTACTTCTACTATCTGAAGGAGCATGACAAAGACAAAGGTAGATATGTTATCACCCTAAGGCACCACCGCATCCATCTAGTGACTGGCCTCAGGCCGAGCGATAAGAACTGGAAGGAACGATTCTTCTTTTTTAAGGGCGAGACACTATTTGGCGAGAGAGGCTGAGGCGAGATACCATTCACATGGCGAGCCATGGGTGAGAAACTTGTACTAGCCTTTTCTTCTTGATTACTAAGTTTTATTCTCCCCTTCTTTTATAGATCTCGACTACAACCGAGCCAGACAAAGCGGAGACATGATAGACATGATGAAAAGGGAAGTCCTCATCATTCCGAAAGAGCAGAGAGACTAGTGAGCGGTGTTGAAAGAACCCAATCTGAGAGCGAGTCATCTATGGGCAGGGGTTGAAGCTATCCAGAAAGGTATTCCATTCCCTTCATGGAAGCAAGAGTGGCAAGTGTTGCTGATTCGCTACAACAATCATATACTATATTGGCATTCGTTTCTTCACCCTCTAACACCTGAGGAGTTTGGCCTTGTAGAGAGGTTGATGAAGAGCATCAACGTGGATATCCTGAGTGTGACTGAAGCAGCTGCACAGTGCCAAGCCAAAAGAAAGAGGGAGTCAGTGTCGATGGAGAATGTTTGAGTGGAGCGAACTGAGTCAACTTCACTAGTTGGGCAGTTGTCAGCCAGGATCGGGTCGTCAAAGAGTGTCCAAATCGACAAGAAAGGTGAGACGTTAACAATCACTCTTCCAACAATGGCCTCCGTCTACTCTGACGCAACCGGAATGGGTAAATTGGCCAACTCCTCTCTCTTCCCCACGAATGAGAGTCGACTGACTCAGATCGGGATAATAGTTGTGGCTGAATGGGCAATATCTCGGCAACTTCAGGTATATCTCGACTTAAACACTTTTGTTAAGTTATAGTTCTTAATTGTGTGCTCTTGTGTAGGTTTTGTGCGGGAGCTTGTACTTGAAGAAGACTATAGTTGCCCAGGATGCGAAAGTCTAGGAGCTGACCAAGTTTAACATCGGTCTATGCACCCAAGAGGCTGTGACACTGAGGCTGGCAAAAGAGAGCTCCGCCAAGTTGCGACAAGCTGAGTTGGAGTTGGCCGAGGTGAAGAAAGAGGTGGCCAAGTCGAATGAGAAACTAGCCGAGAAGATTAATACAAGATTAATACTAATTATGTTAAATTCTTATCTAAAATTTCATATCCCTAGTAGGTGTCATAATAAAGGCATTGTCATATCATTCAATACATCATCAGTTTATTTATGTCAGTGTCATATTAATAACATTACTGGGAATATAAATTTTGGGGTAAGTTTTAGGAAATGTAATATTTAGAATAAGTTTTAGGAGGAGTAGTATTATTGTTCCTATTTACAGCTATGCTCTTACAATTACATACAGTCATACTTCACCCCCCAGTCGACTGAGTTCTAAATTTCATCAACTCCATCCATCCATTTTAAGTATATTGTTCTTCACTTACCTACTTAGATTTTCCTTTCGTCTATACTTGTATCTCCTCGGTTTTATTAGCTCGGATTGTTGTCAGAAAATTCTAGCTATACCTCCAAGATGATGGCTGGCATAAATTAATAGCGTAAACGTAACGGACAGCATTAATAGTATCGCATGTTTCAGGAAGCAGAAAACTTTGGCATTCTTGTGTATATCATATCACTCGGCCCAGGTCGTCCCTTTCATCTTAAATACGAGATATTTCCTAGTTTTCTTCCCACACAAATTCTTACAAGAACAAGTTGTGGAGGATTAATTAACTTGAAAATTTTGATAATATTGATTGTGGTGACAACGATTTAATAATATTGATAATATTAATAAATTAACAATAAAATATTTAACCGTTAAGATAAGTGATGTACAATTATGAAGAAGTGTAAAGTCAGCTTGAGTAAAAAGTGTTATAATTACTTGAATGACTCGTATTTTCGACCGGGGGAGACTCAGCTCTAAGGTCAATGAATCAACAGTTGCCATTGAAGTCTTTTTCAATTGCAAGAGTACTCCCCCCAGGTAGCGGGTATTGGCAATTAAGTTCCTCTTCTAATAGGCTGATGTCCTTGTCTCTATGCTCAACTTTATTAGTTTCAACTAAAATATTTGATTTCAAAATTCCACTAGTGCCCCTCATAAAAATTATATTAATATAGATAATAATACGATAGACTATTCACAGCATTTTGAATTGTATGAGACACATGAGAAGAAACCGAATTGGCAATGGAGATATTAAAGAAGTTGATCATCTGTGCATTCATATGTATAGCTGCTCTCAGAGTCCTGGTTCATGCCCAGAGTCAATCAGGTTTAGTAACTCCATCCATTTTTAAGCATGAATTTTATTTATATTGTTATTTTGCCAACCATGTAATTAGATTTGTTTTCTCTTTGTTTATATATCCTTATATATTCCAGGCTTTATTAGCATCGATTGCGGGATATCAGAAAATTCTGGCTATACCGACAAGGTGACAGGCTTAAATTACACTTCAGATGCAACCTTCATAGAGACTGGTGTTGGCAATAATATCTTATCTGAATACAAGAGTACTACCCTTGAACAACAATTCTTGAATGTGAGAAGCTTCCCAGAGGGCAAAAAAAATTGTTACACCTTGAAAACTGCTCCTGGCGAAATTAAGTTTTTTATTAGAGCAAGATTCATGTATGGAAATTATGATGGCAAAGGTAAAGTACCAAGTTTTAATCTCATTCTTGGAGCTGATGTGTGGGATTCGGTGGAATTGGAAGATGCATCTCCCATTGTTACCAAGGAGATCATCCATATTCCCAAGAGAAACTACGTATGTATTTGTCTTGAAAACACAGGCTCTGGAACACCTTTCATTTCAGTGTTGGAATTAAGGCCCCTGAGTAATTCCACTTATCAAACTCAATCAGGATCACTACTGCTCTATAGGAGGTGGGATGTTGGTTCAACTACCAATCAAACTTTCAGGTCAGTTGTTTTATATCAGCAAAATCAATCTACTAATTAAATTGAAGCTTCCAAACTTGCTAGCTTCTATTTTTTACTCTTCTCCTGATGAAGGTAAGGCTTATGATGTCTTCTGCTTGGGTGTCTTTATTTTATTTTTTTTTTAATCTTTTAAATAATTTTTTCTCTTTACTAAGATTCAATTAATTTCTTTTTATAAAACTATGTAAAACAATATAATACAGGTATAAAGATGACATTTATGACCGCATTTGGACGCCCTACAACAGCCAGAACTGGACACCAATAAGTAGCCCATTCACTGTTCACACTCGGAACATTTTTCAACCACCGTCTGAGGTCATGCAGACTGCAATTATTCCAGAAAACGGTAGCGATTCCTTGCAGTTCAGTTGGGAGCCTAGTGATCCAGATTACCAATATTATCTCTACTTATATATAGCTGAAGTCCAAAACCTCCCGGAAAACCAGATTAGAGAAATGAACATCTTTACAAATGGAATGAATTTCATTGACGCAATCTCCTGTGAATACTTATACACAAACACTCTATATTCCGCAATACCCTTATTAAGTGAAGAAAAAAATGTGATAACTATCAACAAAACTATGAATTCAACACTACTGCCCATCCTCAACGCCCTGGAAATATATCGTGCCCAAGAATTCCCGCAATTGCTGACTGACCAGCAAGATGGTGTGTATATTCTTCTGGACACTCATTTTCTGTACAGGATTAGTCATCGTTAGTTTGGTTCTTACTTCTTTATGCTTGTAAAAATCTTAGTTGATGCAATCATGAATATCAAGTCAAAATATGGAGTGAAAAGATCAAATTGGCAAGGAGATCCATGCGCCCCGCAGAAGTACTTGTGGCAAGGCCTTAATTGCAGCTACGATGATCGTAACCTCCCCAGGATCATATCCCTGTAAGTCTACTCTTTTAAAAAACTTGACTGGACATTATGTTAATAAGATTATGAATGTAAAAATGATTATTGGCAAGCAGGAATTTATCATCGAGTGGAATAGACGGCAAGATATCCCCTGACATATCCAAGCTCACATCAATACAAATTCTGTAAGCTTCTTAAATTAATCTCACAGAAACCTGTAATCAAGCGATCAACCAATTACAATTACAATGCTGACCACATTCAGCTTAACATTACAATTACAATTACAATTTCAGGGACTTATCAAACAACAATTTCACTGGCCCAGTGCCTGATTTTCTATTACAGCTACCATACTTGAAAGAGCTGTAAGTTGCTTCATCAGGATTATGATGGCCATTAAGAAAATTTTCTTGGTTTAAGAAAACAAGGGATAATCTTTAATTACTATTTTTTTTTTTTTTTTTTCAGAATCTTGACTGGAAACAAACTCGAAGGTTCAATTCCAGCTGGACTCTGGGAAAAACAGAAGGATAATTTGCTATCACTAAGGTTTATTTTCAGTCAAAAGTTGAACAGCAAAATTGTCAAAGGACTTTATATATTGTTGAATTCTTACATTATTCCTCATGATGATTCAGTGTGCACGAAAATCCAGATCTTTGTCCTAAAGCTTCTTGTGCAAAAAAGAACAAGCTTATTATTCCGTTACTAGAAGCAGCTGTTTCGTTATGCATCCTCTTAACTGTAATTGCTACTTTATGGGGCTTCAAAAGGAGAAAACAAGGTAAAAAAGCCACTAAATAATTTATTTAGTTTTAGAACACACTTTCAAATTTTGATGAAATTCCAAATTTTTATTTATTGAATTTGTAGTTATTAACACGGAAGTTTTCTTCCAGATTTGAATAATAACAGGTCACTGGAGCTGAAAAATCGAAGGTTCTCTTACTCTGATGTTGTGAAGATTACCAACAACTTTGAGACGGTTATCGGGAAAGGAGGATTCGGAACAGTTTACCTTGGATATGTGGATGACAATCAAGTAGCTGTGAAGATGCTCTCTCCATCTTCAGCTCAAGGATATAAGCAGTTTCAAGCTGAGGTATTTGAAAGTACTTGCTCATAATTTATTTAACTTTTTGTATTTTTGAGAATAATTTATGTTGGCTTTATCTTTACAGGTCGAACTTCTTATGAGAGTACATCACAAAAACCTGACAACACTTGTTGGTTATTGCGATGAGGGCATAAACATGGGGCTAATCTATGAGTTTATGGCTAATGGGAACTTAGAAAAACATCTCTTAGGTTTGTTTAATAAACATACATAGCCAGTTTAGACTGCTATTACCTTGAGCAACTTTCTTAGGATGCAGAGATCAATCCAAGGTCTTAATTAATAAATAAACAAGATGCTTATACTTATTAATGCAGGAGATAATGAGGATATCCTGAGTTGGGAAGGGAGACTTAAAATAGCAGTAGAGGCAGCACAAGGTTAGGAAGTATATAGTTTACAATTTTTTTCCTTTTTCGTATGTTTTACATTCTTTTCTTTATGCTTGTAATTTGTTTAATGTTAAGAGTTGGATTTGAAATGTAGGATTAGAGTATCTCCACAATGGCTGTAAACCACCCATATTCCACAGAGATGTGAAATCGACAAACATCTTATTGAATGAAAATTTTCAGGCCAAATTAGCTGATTTTGGTGTTTCCCGAGTTTTTTTAGCTGAAGGTGGAACTCATGTGTCCACGACTATCGTTGGCACCCCTGGATACCTTGACCCTGAGTAAGTATAACCTTATTCTTATCAAAACTATAATCTTTAGAATACAAAAGTACTGTCAATTTTCTATCCTACAAAGCTGCCCAAGTCATGTATTATGGTCCTACAGGTACTATATATCAAACAGGTTGACTGAAAAAAGTGATGTGTATAGCTTTGGGGTGGTTCTGTTAGAGATAATTACAAGCAAATCCGTGGTAGAAAACAATAGTGACAGGACTCATATAAGTCAGTGGGTGAGTTTCATGCTTGCCAAGGCAGATATTAAAAATGTTATTGATCCAAGATTGCAGGGAGACTTCAACTTAAACTCTGTGCAGAAAGCTGTAGAAATAGCAATGGCTTGTATTTCTCCATCTTCAGCCAACAGGCCAACCATGAATCAAATTGTGAATCAATTGAACTACTGTTTAGCAATTGAGATGGCTCGTAAGAAGGTACGCAATGAGATTGAATTGAAAGAGTCTATTGAAATGATCAGTTCTGATCTTCATGAATTATCTTCCACAGGAAGATAATGTACTATTATTACATGTATGTTGGCTACTTTTAATGTGAGAATAAAATGGAATGCAGCTATGAATTCTCACCAACAGTTACATGTTAATATTTTATAATTAAATGAATTAAATTTATTTAATAATTAATTTATTTCAAGGACCGAGGATAGCCAAGGGTGGGATGGGGATTGACATCCCCATCACGCTCGGAAATCAATTCGGAGATGGGTTTTCATCTCCATCCCTGAAATTTTAGTTTAAATACCCTCCCCAAATGAGGCAGGGACAAGCGAGAACCTGTCCCCACAAGATCAATTGCCGTCCCTAGAAAACAACCTAGACACTTAGATGACGCACAAGTTGTAGTGAAGATGCTCTCCCCATCTTCAGTTCAAGGATACATAACTCTGTTGAAAACAGAGAGGACAGCAGAGGTGGGTCTATAGTTCAGTTTCCAAATCCAGAAATAGTTTCCTATTCATGTAATTGCAAATCTCCTGCTGTCGCCTGTCCGCTTGCAGGTTATACATATATCAAACAGGTTTGACTCAATTCAATCAAATATTTCAATATGGCATTCTAACATTGGCGTAGACACCTATTATTAAACTATGAATTAATGTAAGAATAGTTTCTCAATCTATTTATAACCCTTATTTGAAGTCATGATCAACATTACATATCAAGCAAGTAACCCAACAAAGTGAAAATCAGAGAACTCTACGTGTACATTTCCAGTCTATGTTTATCTTTCTTACGCTTTATTAGCATAGATAGAGGCTGGTGTAAGCAAAAATATATCACCTGAATACAATTTACCTGGTTTACAACACTAAACAGTCTTAAATCCAAACTCCTATTAAGAAGAGTAAAAGTGAAAAAAATGAAGGAAATTAGAGGTGAAAAATGTGGAATGAAAAAAAAAAATAATAATAATATGTCTCCATGAAATAAATAAAATTAAGAACAGTCTGAATCTATTTGTATACAGTTGTAAAATTTAAATCAATGCATAAGTTTAAAGGTGATAGATATGGACATTTAATCACGGATAAGCCTAGTCATTGAGCTTTTCTTCTAACTAAATAAGACTTCATCACAGCAAATGTAGAAGAATTCTGGACAGCTTAAATTAATTTGCTTACAAATCTGAAGAACAAAGGGCTAATACAATAAAGGATTCTCCTCAGTGATGAAGCTCTGATGACGAGAAGTAGATTTTCCAGATGAAGAAAAAATAATTAACAACAATACCTTTTACTCTTTAGTTCAACGACTTGAATATTATTCCAGAAAATCAGAAGAACTACAGAGTATTCTGCTAATGTGTGACTGCTACTTTACAAAATTTATTTAAACTCAAAGTAGAAGTTTAGAGAACAAACATGCTTAAAGATCTAGCATACTTGTATGTTAACGGGGATCCAGCTCAGTGATTGAAGCTTCATTCACTGAAGATTGGACAGAATTGCTTTTTGATTGACCCGGCACAGTGACTTCAGATTTATCCTGTTCCACAACGCTGTGCATAAAGAATGCAGGTTTTGACGGCACTGACAGAGAGACAGAGTTGCTAGTTAGCATTAGAACAACTGAAGTCATGGTTGGTCTATCAGCTTCATTTTCTTGAACACATAGTAATCCAACATGAATACACCTCATAATTTCACTACTGGAATGACCCCTCAAAGTGTGATCTATCATATTTAAAGCTGTCCCTTTTTTCCAATTTCTCCATGCCTACAAAAAATGAACAATGCACATATAATGTTAGTGCCTTTCTTGGATTTTTGAAATTTCATTGTCATCACTTATCTAGTATTTGAAGGAGAAGAAGATAAAATAGTTAAAAGATTTTGCTTAATTACATAAGTTAGCAGGTCCTCCTCCTCTTCTCCATTACAAAAACTACTGTTCTTTTGGCCACTAATGATTACCAGGACTAACACACCAAAGCTGAAAACATCCAACTTGACTGAGAAGTGTCTATACTTTACATAATTCAGGAGACATATATCCACTGAAAAGGGTCATAAGTTAGAATTAGTTAGTTTTACTGAAAACCAAAACTATCCATGATCATATGCAAATCATTTCTGGTTTTGCCACATATAGGAAGTGGTAAAACATAACATAAAAAATTTAGTTTTAGCAAGCTCTAAGTATGTTAATGTATATACTTACAAGGTTCCAACAATTCTACTTGTATCACCCCGAGTTTGATCCACTTCAAATAACTTTGCCATTCCAAAATCTGAAATTTTTGGAATCATATTTGCATCTAAAAGAATGTTGCTAGCTTTTAAGTAGCGATGAATGATTCTTAATCTTGAATCTTCATGAAGGTAAAGAATTCCTCGAGCTATGCCTCCTATGATTTTGTATCGTTTTTCCCAATCTAATAATAACCGCTTGATTGGATCTAAGAATTCAACAAAACCAAAGCACTTCAATAGATTGCATAAATCTAATCAGGAACATTTGCTTTCTTATATGCAAACATATATGCGCACACATCTAGTAAATAATTGTTGCAATCACAGTGAATGCAGACATAGCAATACATTCATTTTGGGGAAAGAAACCAAAAGGCGGTGAAAGCATACCAAATATGAAGTTATCTAGGCTTGAATTTGACACAAACTCATATATAAGAAGCCTTTCTTTATCTTCCAAGCCAAAACCTGGAAGCCTAACTAGATTTCTATGATGAAGCTTGGCCGCCAAGAGGACCTCATTTTTAAATTCTAGATCTCCACCCCCTGATTCTCTAGACAGCCTCTTCACAGCTATATCCTGTCCATCGAGAAGTCTTCCCTGAAATGATATTAAGAAAAAAAATGAGGTAAATGCAAAACAATTGAATTGCATTCCGGGAACTCAAACTTTACAACTGGATGCATATTGATCACCAAATGGTGCTCTTTGTCACATTTTCAATTACCTTGTAAACAGAACCAAATCCACCTTCTCCAAGCTTATTACCAATGGAAAAGTTATCTGTTGCAACTTTGATAGTGCTGAAGTCGAATTGCAAGGATTCCACACTCTCAATTTCATCACCGACATCTTAAAAATAGTATCAAGCATATAAATAAACAGCTACTAATAGATGATTAAGATGCTAAAGAGTGATTTCTCTGTTCAGTATTAATTCCTTTCTTCTGTTAATTGCAGCTATTATATCAGAGTTAATAGAAGCAGCCAGATTAAAACAAAATTCTAGTTTGAAATTTCACCCTTAATTTGATAACCCTTAACATAAAAAACAATGCATAAATGACTAACCTTTTAGCTCTTGCTTTCTTCTTATCTCGCCCTTTGCCTTTCTCCTCCTCTTTAAAAAGACTAAGTTAAAGCAACTAGTAGTGATATGATGATAATTATAGAGACAATAATTATTCCAACATCTACAGGTGCAATGCCTCCTTTGTCTGCAAAAATCAAAATGGCCTCTGAACATTTATAAAAGGGATACAGATCCAAGCGAAAAATACAAAATTCAATAATTAAATTAAAATTTCCCCTTAAATTTTGAGTTTATAAAGTTCGAACTTACCAGGTGGGTATTAGTTATCTGTGGAGGAGAAATTCTGGGTGGTAGTGGAGGAGACGGAGATGGAGATGGAGCTTCAGTTGATTCATAAAAGGGATACAAATCCTAGCGAAAAATACAGTTAGGCCTCTGAACGTAACCTCCTTGCTTCCCATGACAGCAGCTCTCGAAGCAAGATACAGATTGACGAAGGCAAGAGTCGCAATTACTCCGGGATAAGATGGAGTACACTGCATTAAGGCGTATATCTTCTGAAAGAAAGTCAAATTAGCTTCTTCAGTGGCAAATTTGAGCTTAGAAGAACCCATAGAGGCTTTCGTAACCACTCGATCCATTAAAATTTCCCAGGTCTGATCAAACTGTGTCAAATTCGTAGCCATATTATTCACATTATACACAGCTTCCATAGGATCCGTCTCCAGTAATCCAATAAAAGACCGGTCTGCATAGCGTACAATGCATGAAGGATCTCCTCCCCATGAAATTGCTTCTTTTTGGTCGGGACATTTGGTTATAAGATCATGGGTTGTGGTATTGACACAGCTGAAACAAGTTTCTGAAGAAGGATCACCTCTGCAAAGTGCAAGAGCATAAACTTCGTTGCTGTCTTGGCCAATAGTAACAGTATAAAAACCCCCGTTTGTTGATACATTAGAAGCAAGATTTGAAAGGATAAGTTTGCGGTTCTTGCCATAAACACTGTTACTTGTGAAGTTTCCCGTTTCGTAACATCTCTGGCCATTGCTAAGAGTGATGCCTATAGACAGGTAAGTAAGAAGACGAAGGAGATTTGTAAAAGCCATGGCATGTTTAATAATTCTCATGTCTAATTTAATCAAAATGTTTTTGGTGAAGATGAAACAATATACAAAACCTTAATCGTTCAGACATGGTGATCCAAGTGCAGGAACTTCTGGCTTGAGAACATGCCTTTATTAAGAGCGGACCCACATGGGGTCACTCTTGGGTTTTATTTTTTATTTTTCATAATTTTACCCCGTAACAAAATTAAATTACAAAATTAAAATAAACTAAATTAATTAAAAATTTTGACTTTTTTTAATAATATTTTTCCCGTGCCCCACTCCATCTCTCCAAACTCCGATCCCCATTTTTCTCTTCACCAGCAGCCCCACTCCCCAGCGTGCCCCCACCACTCAATTGAAGAATCTCAACTGTTTTCAAAATATATTTTAACAGTAAGAATATTTGTTGATTTTTTTTTTTTTTACTTGATTCAATTATTAAGTTTTGTTTAATTAATTTCATTTAAATTCTCTAGAATATCCTTTATAGTATTGTGTTCATGGGTAATTTTGATTGACTTTTACTATGTTTCTTTAAGCGTGTAGAATTTTTGTTTTCTACAGTTATGGTGAGATTGTTGGCATGTTGCTATAGTTTTGAGCTTGATTGACTGTTACTTTTTATCTTCTAAATGTATTTTAATTTATTGATCTGCCAAATAAGAGCAAGAAATGGATTGTTGACTTATTATTCTTGTATCAAGAAAACAATGACTCTCAATAAAGAAAAAT